ATGCTTGAAGATAGATACACGATGTGTATTCGTATTGTGTGCCTAATAGCTAATAGCTGCTGGTTCTGCCTTCCAAGCCATGAATATCTGCAGCTCCCCCAGAGCCCAAATGGCCTGATGGTTTTTAGATTAGGTTCTGAGAAGTCCATGATTATTCCATGAAGGAAACAACTGACATGTTCAATGGTGGTTTCCTCTTTCCAGTGGTTAACATAACAGACTACTGTAATATCTACAAACCTTGGGACATTTTTTCATAATCTTGGCCCAATTTCTTCTATTTCAGGCTCCTGCTAGATTTCCCTTTACTGATAGATTGAGTAGAGCTCTGTGTTTTATGACCATTGCATTTCTCTATAACCTTTTCTGTGACCTGCTGTGTTTCTTGGTCTAGATGCATGATCGCCACACCTTATTAAGGTAGGTCATTCATTTCTACTTTATTATCAGTGTTTATTGTTCTTTTTTAGGTTTAACATGCAAAACTTGCCATGTTCCCACAGTTTTAGACTTTTTCTTTATTTAGAATTGAATTATTCTGAATAAGGTTATATAAGAATACCTGGAGACTTGTTTTTTAGGGTCATGCTGGCTGTTACCGGCCTACTCCTGCCTGCTGGTAACAAAGATGAAGAGGGTGGAGCAGACTTAGCTTTTGTTTGACTGCACATTGACTCTGACGTTGCAGGAGTTTAGTTTCATTGTTTCAGTTAATGCCTGTGTCATTTTTCAGCCTTGTTGGGTTTTCTGGTTTGACTGGTCTTTTGTTGTAAAGTTTGTTGACTCAGTGTTTATTGTTTATATTTTCATTAGACATAAAAAAAGAAAACAAAAGCCATCTTGTTTAGTACTTTAACACCTAACCTGTGGAAAGCTAATAAGCAGCCCCAAACATAGCCCTGAAAGGGAACCTGGAACTATAGACATTAACAACTGCACAGTTTATCAAGCCCTGGAGACGTTTGGCTGCAGTGTAAATGCGTTTCCATCCCATAGTTATATAAGCAGGAAGAGAAAATGCACTACTGTAACATTTTTACTGAAATTCAATTCAATTCAGTTTATTTATATAGCGCCAATTAACAACACAAGTCATCTCAAGGCACTGTACAGTTCAACCAGATCATACAGTCAAATTGATTCAAAGTTTTCTATCCAAGGAAAACCAGTTGATTGCATCGACTCATTGACTCAAAGGCAATCCCTCACACTAAGCATGCTTGTAGCGACAGTGGAGAGGAAAAACTCCATTTTAACAAGAAGAAACCTCCAGCAGAACCAGTACCAGTGTGAGCGGCCATCTGCTGAGGCCGACTGGGTTTCAAGGAGACAGAAGCAGAGATACAAAAAGCAGCTGTAAAAGGCGGCCCAATGCAGGAAACACACAGCCAGGCAGACGAGCACCTAGCTAGCACCCATGTCAAATCAAAGTTAAAATTAGTGACTGATAGATCAGTGGTGCTGAAGCTTATTTTTTTTCATCATTGTGTTTTTCTTCTTTTCTTATAGCGTATAGTGTACTAACATGTTATTAGCAGCACCCAATATTTTCGCAATTTTGCCTCCCGCCGTGCAGTATGCCCCTCTCACAGTATAAAAAAACTTCTGGCCAGAGAAAAAACTCGTAATATGTAGCCAACATTTGGAAGAAGAATGTTTTCAAGATGACTTGGATAATAGCACGTTGCGACAAACACCAGATACAGCACTGGGACTTGATCAACAGCCGATACCGCACTGTGACGTCATTAACCAGTAGGTGGCAGTACTGTTCTTTGACAAACATGGATGCCTCCAGTAAAGCACATTCAATTGAAAAATACTCTTAATTAAAAAAACGTATAATTTATTGAACAGTGTGTAATATTTTTACATTTAAAGTACTTTCAGAAGTTTGCATTCTGAATATAACTGGACTTCTCCTTTAATACATCTGCCTCCTAGAGTTTTCAGTTACATCTATGCCTATAGGGGTAAGACAATCTTTAGGTTATATAATCATATCTATTTAAAAAGTCAACAGGATTGTTGTCCCTCTGATTGTCAAGTATAGAAACAAAGATTTTACAAAGTGAACTGACCTGAAAACACCAATGAGTGTTCAAACCAGTTGGGCAAGTTTAGGGCCTCTGGTTTGCTTTTATTAAATGGTGCATATTTCCTGCATGTGAATATTTTTAACTTATCCTGCATAAAGAAATACGAGAGAGTGACATTCACATGTATCCCTGTCCTTTAAAACAACTATATGAAATTTCAGGACAGCCTAAAGAAGAATATGTTTGTATTGACAAACCATGGGGATGTATCACTGTTACTCCATCCACTTTGGATTCTGCTCCTTTTTCTTGCCGCTCTTCCATATGGGCCAGTTCTATGAAGTTGTATTTATTTTCCCCTGAGGAGATTCTCTCAGCTGAGCTGTAGATCTTGTGCTCTTTGTTAGTTCTCTGACCATCACCACCTTTATCTTGAAGTTTGAAGTGTTGCATCAACTTAGACAACTTTTATTGTTGTTTTGTATACACAGAGTGTATGCAAAATGACAGCTTTCATAACATTTCCATTCTATAAAATGCAGCAGTGAAGGTGGTGAAGGTCGTGACGATGGGTGGGGGCAGGTGGGCTCTCCTCATCCTCTACAGGAAGTACATGCGCTTCTGTGCCCTTTTGATCAGTGAGGTGGTGTTTACATTCCAGGTGAGGGTGTCTGTGACGTGCACCCCCAGGAATTTGGTGCTTATAACCAGTGGAGCGTGATTAGGACGGTTCTTCCTGAAGTCCTAGATTATGTCCTTCATCTTCTCCACGTTCAGGATCAGGCTGTTATCTCTGCACCAGTCCACCAGCTGCTCCACCTTCTCTATATTGTCATCTCTGATGAGGCCCACCACCTTGGTGTAGTCTGGAATTGTTGCACATTTTGAATTGAAAAAGCTTCCTGGACTGGAAGCGAAATGTCTTCAAACTTGGAAACAAATCCAGTGAATTTTTTCTAAATTTTCTGAAATTACTGTGACCTGGATGACTGAGAATCCTCACCAGCAATATCAAGAAGTAACTTATAGAACCATGGGCGATTCTAGACAGGGGCCAATGGGGGCCAGTGCACCTGTAGATCATGTCCTCGCCCCTGACAAGGCCTCAGTACTGAAGACATAATACTCAAAGAAATTCTAATGATGATATGCGCTGGAAAAGACATGGTTACTGGTAGGTGCTTTGGATCTATTTCATTTTTTTTCTTTACAAATTCTGTTTTACTAATTATTTAGAAGCATTAAGGTGATAGCTCTAGTGCTATTAAGATAGGATCCCAGTTTTTATCTGCTAAATGTTTTTTCAAAACAAATTAAGAAATATAATCTAATTCAGATTTTATAGAAGACGGTAATTTTAACTTAAATCAAATTAACTCTGATAGCTGGCCTTAATTACTCGTTTCATTCACCTGCCTAGTTCTGCCCAGTTCTTAATCATCTCTGATCTCATCCTCCTGTGGGTTCTGCTTTATATTCGGTCCAGCCCAGCTATCGGGGCCAGATCATTGTTCTCTATCTGTTAGGTCTGCCTACCTGAACCTCTGTTGGACTCCTGCTGAATTCTGCCTGTCTGTATGTTTCTGCTTGACGCACGGGACTCTAAACCTGCCTTCACCTGCTGATAGATTCCTGGAACCTGGATCTATCCGTTCCGGTGTTGATCAGAACCCCGGACTGCAGACTCCTGGATTCCAGAACTACTAAAGTCTGATCTTAATCCCTGTCCTGGATCGGAGTCCATCTTGTTGGCAGTGCATCGGCTTATCCTACCTAAGATTGAGAGGATGGACTGAACTGTTAAATCAGGTAAGTGACTCACTCTGATAATCATCTCCTGTTCAGATGATCATGTTCACTTACCTGCGTTTCTCCCTAAACCAGAGGGCAGTGATTCGGTGGTACCCCACCCCTCCTGCAATCACCTTAGGTCTGCAGATCCTCAGCAGCCCGCTTCAGTTTTGTTTCTGTCTGTTTGCTTTAATAAATGTTTCGAAATGTCTTACTGGCTGTCTCACCTTAAATACTGGGTCCATCTGTCCCATTTTCAGACATAAAATTCTTAGATTCTGAATGTATATTGACCTAATAAGACAGAATTTTAAATAAACCTAATTGAATAGAAATTTCACTTCATGCAGCTATGTTAATATATTTAAATCCCTTGCTCTGTTTTTTATTTCATGCTTTTCTGGGCCCCCATGGAAACATGCTGTCCGGCCCCCGGGTACATTTGGTCTAGAACCGCCACTGTATAGAACTGCAGGAGAGGAAAAAGACACGGGAATTGTAATAAAGAATAACTGGAGATAAAGGGACACCTGTTAGAATGACTAAACAATCTGCAAAGAAAATCCACAGATAAAATCCATGAGAGATCTTTATAAATTGTAAATTAACATTCTGGGGTTTTCTATTTCTCTATTTTCTAAGGCTTTAACGTTTTCCAGAAAAAAAGGGATCCTGCTAAAGTGATGGAAGCTACGGAAAAGGATTAGGGCCACTGGAAAAAAAAAAAGGTTAACTGATTTTTAAATTTTATTTCAGTTTAGTATGGGAGAAAAGTCAGAATTCTGACTTTAATCTCAGAATTCTGACTGAATTCTGACAATAAAAAAGTCTGAATTCTGAGATTAAAGTCAGAATTCTAAGAAAAAAAGTCACAATTCTGAGAATAAAGTCAGAATTATGAGATTAAAGTCAGAATTCTGACTTTTCTCCCATACTAAACTGAAATAAAATTTTAAAATCAGTAATTTTTTTTTTTTTCCAGTGGCCCTAATCCTCTTATGTAGGAAACAGTAAAGGATCCAATGAAGTGTTTTTCTGACGCCCTCAGGTTGACAGGACGTTCCTCTGGAGCAGAGGTAGGTGTGTTTAGTTGGTGCAGCCTCCTGCCTTCATAAATCTGCGTCCAGCCAATCAGGAGGCTCATGGTAATCCCAGTCGGATGAAAACAGAACCCGCCGGGAGCGCAGAGGACTCTTTAATCTGCGGAGGGGAGACAGAAGGAGACCAGGAACCAGGACATGTCCGCTGCTGCGCAAAACTTTTCAAACACAGAGTCGCGTTTTGGATCTTTGTGAGACGGAAGTGACGCCGTCAGCCTCCTCCAGCATCCCCCCACAGAGGACTGATTGTGCAGCCGCAGCAGCTTCCAGGGACCCGGCGCGTCATGTCGTGCGGTGACGCCGCGGAGCAGAGCCGCAGGTTCAGCCTGCTGCACTGGGATCAGGTCCGGCGGCTGGACTCCATCCTGGGGGAGAGCGTCCCCATCCACGGCCGCGGGAACTTCCCCACGCTGTCCGTGCAGCCCCGGCACATCATCCAGGTCAGATGGAGTTAAAGACTGGCCCTTAATCCAGCCCAGAATAAATAACCTGCATTTGACAACATTTAGACAGAAACATGTAAAGACAGTGAGGAGTTTCATTGCATGTTCCATTCAAGCAGAAAGGGGATAAAATAATTTATTTCTTGAGTAATTTCAACTATAAAGCACCTTTCATTCAGAAGCAGAAGATATGATTAGAGCTTCATTAAATAGTAACAACATAAGTATCAAATTAAAACCGCTTTCCTTTCTTATTATTACTGCTATGGGTTAAAATGTTGAGGACAAGATGTTGGCCCAGCCGGGAGCAATAGTAAACACATCAATATTTACTTGTGTGAAAGAAAGTTCAGCAAAGTAAACTTTGTAACATCTGAACTGCAAAAATGAAACATATAAGTCAAAATTTTCTTCCAACAAGTGTATTTTTCAAAGACAATTTGCCTGTGATTAGAAATAAATAACTTAATGATCGGATTTCTATTTGAAGGGCACAATTGGTCTTTTCATTTAAAGATCATCTGATTTAAATGCTTAAATATACTTTTAAATGCTTTTTCTTCATACTTTTAGAGAAGCTTTTGCTGCGGGGAGTCTATAAATGGAGTTTTCCTGCATCTCTGGGCAGCAGCTTAGTTTGTGAGAGCCTCTTGCCAGCTCTCTGCATGCATCTGACCTCTAAATGGTCCTATAACTCACTGAAAAACTAACGCAACCCTTTTTGGCATTTACTTAATCATATTTAGTTACTTTAACATAATTGTTTCATGTCAGCAGGTTAGGACATAAAACAATTGTGTTAAAGTAACTAAATATGATTAAGCAAATGCCAAAAGTGGTTGCATTATTTTTTTTCAATGAGAATCCCCAGGATGAGCAACACATTTTTCTCAATAAAAAAGGATTGTAAGCTCACTTTATAGAAAAAAACCCTAAATAATATAATACTATTTTAAAGTAGATTATACTTTGAATTAGGCTGAAACAATTAATCACGATTAATCGATTATTGAAATAATCGTCAACTAATTTAGTATTTGATTAACTGTTAACTGGAGTATCGATACTCTAAGATGTGCCTGTGGCAAACCACTTAGAGCAGTAATTATATATACCGGTATATATATATAAAAACTATAAAAATATTTTGCATTTAGGATATAAAAAAAATATTTTTCGTCTGTCAATAAGCTCTATCCAGGACTCCTCAAGTGGAAAAGTTTTAGTTTTACCTGGTTTAATTTCGTAAAAAGTCTTCTTTAAGGAACCTTTGGCTATCCGATTTTTAAAGCTGTAGAGAAGCGGCTGTTCCAACTGTTGCAGTTCCGAATTCTCCCGAGTGGTGCACGACTTTACACGAGTGAATAAAGTGAATGTGATTGGCTGGTTATCAAGAGGGGAGGATAAATGTGGCGGAAGGTTCGCAAGCAAGTTTGATTGTGGCCGGTTTCTCGGAAGCATCTTGCTAACCAGTTAGCAACTTAGTGCTAGTAGGTTCCCAATGGGAAATTACATTGGGACCAAGTAGCACTAAATTGGTGACATAGAAACGACACTGTCAAGGAACGCTATGGAGAGCAGAAACATTCAAGAGAAGGAGAGTTTAGTGTCGGAGGTCGTGGATGAGTCTCCTCCGTCATCCATTTTTTATTTAGAGGAGGAAAGCGGGGATGAAGATGTTGTGGAAGAGGACGCCAGGGTGGCAGAAGCTCGGTTTGGTGTAGAAGGCTTACAGCCGTTCATGTTTGAGCCCTTGCCGCGCAACGCTGCCAGTTCTGTTAGCTGTTAGTAAATGATTCTTATATTAGCTGCGACATATGAATCAAGATGCTATGACCGAAAATATTTGATTGACAGACGACCGTTGATATATGATTAGCCGAATTTAGGTGTTCAGGCTGACATATAACTAACTGGCCTGCATAAGATAATGAAAAACCCCCCCACAGATTTTAAGACCGGATTTTTTTTTAAATAGACATTTTCTAACTTTTTGGACAATATGTTCTGATAAAGAGTACATTTATATACACATTTAAGCCAAAATGATTTAAAATTGAAATATGACTCTCCTACGACTTTGAATCAGAAAAATAATTGACAGACTTATCGATTTGCAAAATAATCGTTAGTTGCAGCCCTACTGTCAATTATTGTGAGGTGACAATAATACTCTCTGGCATCAGTTAGACTAAACACTGGGACTGCAGTTTTTCACTAGTTTACGACCACATTTCCTGAGTTCAACCTTTTCCAGTGGTTCCCTTTATTTAAGCTGACTTACTGGTACTGATCAAGGAGAAGCTGTGTTCCTTGATGTTTTTCAGGTGTCATATGTCTGCCAAATACTGTATATCCCTGAAATGATATCATCAAAGGTCATCCTGATGGGGGTGGGTGGTGGGTGTGGGGGAGCAAAACTGCTCAAACACACGTGTTTAAAAGGGCTCTATCATCAAGTAGGCCCCTACCATCTGCTCCCAGCAGCCCCCTGCTAACGTATTTCCTTCATTATACAGTCCTGTAGGCAACTGAGACCCCAAAGAGTTTTTTTTTCCTTTTTGGTCGAACCACAGTATTTTTTCATGGACCTCTCAGAGAGAAGCTTTAGGAAAAATTCGCCCACCACGTCTTCCACAAAGGCTATCTGTTACTACTGACGAGTCCAGTGTGATTTTTGGTAAAGCTTTTTGTTTTTTTGATCTAGTCTGGTAGATTTTTTAAAGTTAACATCTTTGAGAAATGTGAGAAAAAAAATCTAATAAATGTTGATTGTTTGTCTTTTCCATAGGTTAGGTTTCTACAGTACCGTATATCCCAGAAAAAGAGATACAGATTAATCTATTTTTGGGCAAATAAACCTGTGGGTCATATTCAGCTTGAACATTATCTAATATGAGGGCTTCCCTAGTGGAACTGAAGTGACTAACTTCACAGTCCATCTCATAGCAAAATTAAAAAAAGTCACACAGACAAAACCCCCCTGATGATTTCTGATTAAATGTGGATTCTTTTCAAACACAGTTTGCTGCTGCTAAGGCATATTTCTTGAGCACAGGTGTTTAAATAATCGTTTCTTTAAATAAATTGCCAATATGCTAATGGTCCAGTGCAAATATTATTTTACTTGAACCTTTATAAGTCTGGTTTGGGCTTTGTCATTATTACACAAACTTTATGGACCTGTTAAGCTGCATTTATGCTAATTGAAGACACTTAGAACCTGTTTACTCCACAACAACCCGTTGAAAAATTTGACATTTTTCTCTTTTACTTAACAAATCTACATTTAAAACGATTTAATTGCAATGTCTGTATGCACAATACTGGTAGAGATGCTAAGATGATAGGATGATGCACTCTGGAATAGGGGTGTGGGGGGGGAAAATTTCGACTTGGCGATATATTGTGATTTTTTGGGTGCCGGATATAATAATTTTTTTAGTTCCTAATATCAATAAAAAAAGGCTAATTTTCAACTAAAACAATGAGGTAAAATGGGCTATATCTGTACCCCCACTATGGTAGATAGCGCTGTGGAGGCCTTTTGCCATATATGTAGTTGAGGCAGTCACATTGCCCAACAACATGGATCCCAAAATAACAAAATGATCAATATATTCTGATGAACATATACAGCACTTGTTTTATCAATACATTTAATTTAATAGCTTGTAATAATAGTGATATCACATTATCGAAATAATATAGTATCGTGATCCAAATATCACAATACTCAGCCCTACTCTTAAACATTTTCTTTTTCACTTCAGCCCTGTAGGTGGTGGTAATGTGCTTAAAGCAGATTTGCAGCCTTATGCTACGGGCACTCAGGCAGCATGCAGCAGAAGCAGCAAAAACGCATGTGCTGCTTTATTAAACATCTTTGCTGCTCTAGCTGTACGGTTGAAAAGTGGGTCTGATGTGCATTGGGCTGAGCTACCCTATCCTTTGTCTGTAACAATGGCAGCTATATTTGCTGTGATCAGTGGGTAAATAGTAGTTTTGATATGTTTTTAACTGAGAAAGTCCACCTGAAAAGTTCTTCTGGGCAGTCAGTTCATCAAGATTACGATCCTGCCTTCAAATATTATTTGGCTGTTGGAGCCACTCCGACCTCCGAACACCTCTTTGTGTTTTTCCGCTAGTGTTCACTGTGGCTGGAAGGCGATTTTCACTTATCTACTCCAAACTGCAGGAGCCACAATAATAAAATCTCACAAATTTTGCCCGCAGGTCTTGACATTTTAAGTTAATTTAGGCGTTCATAAAAAGTTTCAGTGAAGTGATCGCAGCCTTCTGCATCAGCAGTGCTGTATCTGTCTCCCAGAACTCTCTTCTCTGATTGGGTGATGTCGAGCAGCAACAGTTCAATTTCTCCAACTCCAGCAGCTGCTTTCGCAGCACTTCCCATGGCTCAGATGCTCAGAAGCTCGTGAGGCGCTGCTTCGGCTGCTTAAGCATTACAGAACGAGGTGCAGCTAGTGCACAGATCAATGTATGGGAGTAGAATTATTTATCCGCACAAAATATAAAGTCCTGCATCAATGGACTCTGGACAAGCTAGCTTTTGAGGTCATGAAAACAATGAAATTAGACATTTACAAGTTCGTGGTCACTTAGTGCAAAGCAAAAACAAAATAAAATTACAACTTTGGTGAAAAAAATAAAAAATGTTCTTTGCAAAATCACGAAGCCCTAATAAGAACCTGACAAAGCATTTCTATATAAAAAAAAAACTTGTTTTGTAAACAATGCATAAGAAAAGTATCTATTACGGATACAATGGGCTTTGCAAACAGTTTTCTTTGTACTAACTCCTGTCAAATTTGGCTAATAAATGTAGTCACAACAAAATAAATGCTTTGGAATTTAAAGGGGCCTTGTCATGCACTACACTGATTAAAAACTAAAACATAAAAACATATTTACACAAAACAAGGTACACCAAGCGTCCATCCTGAACGTTTTCTCAGTCCTTTTTGAGCCTTAAAATT